TGAGCCCCCGACCCTCGGACCTGAACCTCGAAACCCCAAACTCTAACTCAAGCCTCAACCCCCGGACCCCGACCTCGACCCCAGACTCAGGACCCTAAAAATCGAAACTCTAAACACCAAACCACAAACCCCGAACTCCATACCCCAAACCTTGAGACCCGAGACCCTGAACCCTGAACTTTGATTTTTTTAATTATTTGTTTCATTTTTAGATATTTTATATAATTTTTTCAAGTATTTTTATCATACGAATTCTAATTCCTATTTGCTAGTGTATAACACATAATCGAAAAAAATCAAGTTAATTGATAAATATAATAACTTTGTACGAAGAAGTCGTATTATTTTTAATGAATGGAATAATATTTTGGCTATAATGATTTAATTGAAGCATTATAATTCAATTATATGTTAGATTAGTAAAAATCTTAAATTAATTTTAAAAATATTTCTATTTCTATATAAATTATTTTAATATTAACATTTAAAATTATATATAAAATCGAAACAAATATTTTTTATATTTATTTATTAAATGATTAAAAATGATGTAAATACTTTTTATGATAGGTTTAACTAAAACTAAAACTATTGGTTTTCCGAACAGTTTAAACTTAATTTTATAAATTATTATTTTTCATAAAAATTTTATCTAAAATCGTATATAAAATTAAAACATGTTATTTCTTTATAATTTATTAAATAATTGAAAATGACATGAATACTTTCTATATTAACTTTAATTAAAATTAAAGGTATTATTTTACTAATCAAAACTTAACTATAAAATTTTTATTTTTCCTAAAAATTTCATAATAACTTTTAAACTAAAATAAATATAAACCAAACAAATTCATAATTTATTTACTAGACAATCAAACTGTTTTAACTTAATATTTAATTATTACTTGTTATAAACTTTCATAATAACTTTTAATTATGAAAATGTTATAATTGTATTATGAATTAACTTAATTATGATATAAAAATATCATAAAAATATTTTTTTATGATAAATTTAATTTATTTATTTTTTAGAAGAAAATTTTAATTTTTTTAAAATCGCACGATACATGTATAGGATGATATTTCTATATCCATTTTGACTGCAAATTTATTTAAGATAAATTTGTAGAATACTTATATCTTACTAATACTTGTGTTTTTTGCAAATGACTGGTTAACTTAATCCATTTGCTTATAATGTCATTTTTCATTTTCGTAATTCGGTTAATAGGAAAAAGAATTGTATTATTTTGATCAAATATTGAATGAGTATTATATTGTACGTATGTGATTCAATATGATATATTTTTTAAGTTTTTTTACTCAATTATTATAAACTCTTTAGTAATTTGGTTTAAATTTTTATTTAATAGGTTATCAATGCACACAATCGAGATAGGGTTAAGTTAATTTAGAAATATAATAAGCTTGTACAAAGAAGGCTTTTTCTTAGTAAAAAATTGAAGAGAGTGGAGCTGTAGTTAATTGTTCATCCACTTCTTTAATTCTATCAATTTCGCCAGTATAAGTTACGAGATGACTTTTTCATGTTTTTCTTAATCGTAAATCCATTTAAGATAAACTTGCAGAATATTGTCTCCTCAACAATACTTGTTTTGTTTATAGGTAATTAGTACTCAATACAATTCGTGTGCTTATAATTTTACTTTTCATTTTGGTAATTTGGTAAATAGAAGAAAAAGTTGTATTATTTTGATTAAATATCGAACAAGTATTATAGGAATTTAAGTTCCTATTTTCTAGTTTATAACACACACAATCAAAAAAAAATCAAGTTGATTGATAAATATAATAACCTTGTACTGTAACGACCTCTTCCTCGATCGTTACCGACGTCCGAGACTTACGGGTGAACTCGTCAAATCCCGAACAAGCCTTAATTGAGATTTCAGATAATTTAATCAAACAGTCTAATGCATATATAAATCGACTAGTAATAACAATGCTTTTATTTACTTAAACCAAATAAACGATTACAAGTACAGTATAGCATCTAGTTACAATATCCTCGTGTGTCCCAACTTCACACTTAACATCCAATACACAACCTTAGAGTTTTTAGCAAAATACATTTCTACTGGACTGATAATCATTATAAGTCTAACTATTTTACAGAACATGACTTCTATGCAGCGGAGCGACTTGAAGTGGAAGTCTAAGAGATACCATTACCTATGTTGCAGCAAGTCTTGAGGTGTTGAGCAATGCACTTGAGCTGATTACTTATCTGTAAAAAGAAGTTAAGGGGGGTGAGTCTCAGAGACTCGGTGATCATCAACTCCATGAGTAAGGCGTAAATGGGATACAAGCCAAGGCAGAATATTGGAATATATAAAATCATAAGAACATATAAACTATTTAAAAGCAAATGGGACATTTATGCCTTATGTATAAAACCAAGGATTTTTATGTAAGAAATCATTTAACCATCATTGTCTCAAAACTAGTGTGAGTGAGATTTCTATTGCATCAATCAATAAATCCTTAACCTAGTTTCATAATTTTGATCAACATTATTCACAAACATTTTACTCACAATCCACATACTTTCAACCAACCCAATCCAACACAACACAATGTAATTACATTGCATGTTTACCTTTTGGTTTTAGCTTGAGTTCCACACATATAGCTCACAATTTCCTCACATCCATGGTCATTATTGCTGCCACAAACATGAACAGTTAGCACACATCTCATTTCTCTTGTTTACTTGTGATTTCAAGACCAAAATACTTAACCATTACTTATTTAGCTCAAAATCATAACCATGGACATAACCATTTCTCATTTCTCATCTTGTTTTATTAATAGTGTCCACTTTTGTTCATAACCATGGACACCATTACGTTTGTATGAGTTATAAGGTTATGATCTGAATATGTGAAATAAAAGTGTGGTATGTGGTTATTAAGAATGGAATATAAGATATGTATTTAAATTATGAATGTTGAAATTATAAAAGCAAATGGATATAAACTTTATGCAAAATATGAACAAGTTGTATGCTTGCGTGGGCCTCGTGGGTTATATCCCTTGGGCCTTCAAGTGTATCATGATTGGATTGTTTACTAAATAAAAAAAAATCTAATACTATTATTACTATAAAATTTTTAAAAATTATTTCACTTTTGTTTGAATTTATTTGATTTTAATATCTAAAATCATATATAAGTTCGAAACAGGTTTATTTCACTTTAATTTATTAAATGATTGAAAATGATATAAATACCTTTTATAATAATTTTAATCAAAATTAAAACTTAAATAATTTATTTTATCAAATAATTGTAATTTAATTTTTAAAAAAAATTATGAAAATTTTAAAATAACTTTTAAACTAAAAAATTAAGCAAAACAAATGTTAATAAGTATACATAGTATTTATGCAGCTTTAATATCTACTCCAAAACCTTCTTAGTCGTTGTGCTCAACGTCTTGATAAAGAAAAAGGTGAAATCCATCAGGGACCTGCTGTGCTTAGATTTGCCATGACAGGGAAGCGGGTGGGGGATACGTCTCCTATGTCTAACTCAAATCATTGAATTCACTCCCAAGGACCCACCCAAACGTTTCAAGGATGGTGACACCGATATTTCTGGCTAGGAGTCTATATAAATAATAATGAATTCATTCTAGAATTATTGTCAGAGAATTTTCAGCAACAATACCCTTGCAATTGCATGATGCGATCACCCTAAGCTGAGGAATCATAATTGTGTACCAACTCCGAGATTATCTTTTTTTTTTCTTTTACATTCAGTTTTCTCTATTTTTCTCAAGAAACCAGATCACAAAATTTCCGCAACTCTACGGACCTAGGTGTCCTTCGTCAGTTGACGTCATAGCTAAAAGATCCTAAGATTGTTGCTTTACTTGTCAAAAATTGTCAAAACACAGAAGGTTGAAGCTGTTAATCAGGATCATGCAATAAAAAAAAGGTGTAATGTCTCATAGAATATAACTTCCATTCACGGTACTTTCATACAACACTTTCTCCATTTTGATTTTACGCATTTTATGGTAACACGCGCACAAAGTGCGAGAGAACGAGCCCCATAGATAGCAATTGGTTGATTTATACCCAAGAACAACCACATAATGTGTTCCCTCGCAGATATATCAATTTTTGCAACTCCTGCAGGGGACCATCTTTCTCCTTGACCAACTGAATGCCAATATCTGCCAACAAGCAAATGCCCAATAACAGCTTTGTTCCAAGATCATCCAGGTTTTGTGGAGGACCGATACCCAAGCAACACACTAAAAGTCTAGCTTCTCAGGGCAGTCCGATGCCCTATGCCCAGGACGTCCACAGTTGAAACATGAACCTCCAAAGCTTCTGTACACAAATTCAGAGGTCAATGTCAATGCTATACAAGGTGTACGTGTTCCTATAAAATTGAAAACTAATGTAATAGCAACTGCCTTATCTGGCTATAACCGCTTCAAGTAATTAGAGCTTCCACCAAAGTAATCAACCATCAATTTACAAAGTTACATTTCAATGACAAAATAGAACAGCACCATGTTTATGTCCATGAAGAAAAAATAAGTCTATCGGTTCATCACGCATGTGCCCTCCACCATGAATGGCAAAATTAGTTCTGGTTAAAATGGACTCTATTTTCATAATTACATAACCAACTATTCAGCCTTTTTACCTTTCTTTAAGATGTGGACAATAAGTAAGATTTAGAATAAAATCAGGAGAATATGGATCACTCTGTCATCCAATACCAAACAGATTTATAACAGATGCACAGGCAGGATCATAGGCAATTGCTGGCTTAGTTACATAAGAGTCCAATCTGATATTTTCTCCTTTCTCATTTATGACTTCGTCTTTAAGACCAAAAACCATTTATAGTAGTTTGGTGTTCCTTCCTTAAATGATGATTTCTATAAAACTGAATGGCGCATGTATCTTTTCATAAAACTTAGTACAAGTAAAAAGGTTCAAGATAGTGTACAGAAGAAAAAATGAAGAGAAGAGACATGCCTGTCATGGGATGATGACCTTTTTGATCTTCTACCACCAATTAGCCAGTCATCCCTACTGCTTTTTGAAGTCCGAGACCAGCTACTTCTTCCACCTCGGACCTCATCATCAGAGTTTCGGCCACTGCTCCAACTCCTGGAGCCTCTAATACCTCTCCGATCCTTAGATATTCCCCTAGGAAAGCGATCCCTGCTAGAAAATTTGCCATAATAATCACTTGAAGGGCCATCATCTTGCAAAGGAGGCAACTGCCAGCAGAAATAAATACACAAAATCAGCTTAGTTTAGCGCATCAAAACAATGCTTAAGTGGCTGCCAAAGGAGCATAGCAAGATGAATTAGATGACAGTAACGTAAGGAACATGACCATCTTGCAGAATCACAATTAATCAGCAACAGTGACCAATATCTAGCATTGACCTTTGTGATCTTTGAGATTGTGTTCCCAGGTGGTGTTTGCTTATTCAGCAACTCTTTAGCAATCTCCTCTGGGAGATCAAAGACTGCACCTTGAACCTGATATTAAACACACTCTTTAAGTCTCAAGCAAAGAGATCAATCAAGATTAACAAAACAAAATGGATAGAAATCTTTTGCACACAAACCCTCTCATCTGCGATTAGATATACTTTCCCCACTTCATCAGCAGCCGCAGGGTTAACATCAGAAAGAAACCCAGTGACAGACCTAGCAGACAGGAAACCTCTAGAATAAGATGAATCTCTTGTCAATTGCAGTGTTACCAATCCCTGCAACAAAACATCCGATTAAGAACCAGGCTAAATTAATTTATTGACACAAAATAACCTCACAAACAAAATGAGATAAATCCTATATGGCTGGTGAGATGAGGGTTCTTGGCATTTGACAATTTAGTATGCAGCATGCTGCCTATACAGACATGGGTTTACGGTTATATAATAAAAAAGCATATGATTTACATAATAGAAGAAGATGAAAAGAGCCAAAGTTCAGTACAACAATAACAAAAAAGCACCGAATTCCCATCATACTCAGGGGTTTGAACTTAGTACATAGAGACTAAGTAGTGGTACACATGGAGACTCACTAATCTCCTCCCATAAACTCGCCCTCCTTTCAAGTGTTTGAACTTCAAACCTCTAAAATGGAAGTCCCAATATCAACTGCTACATTGTCCCCTTGCGGGACACGCAAACTTGAATGTAATATCACAATTAACTGCTCCAATTAGGATTAAAAAGCAACATAAACTGTATTATAGTTTACCTGTTCATGACTAATAAGAGAGCGTGATGAAGGTGGGCGGGAAAATCCACTCAGGTGTGCTAGTGCCGCAGCAAGAGCAGTTATCCCTTCTTCTTCAATCAGTCTTTGAGCAGTCGGAGTAAAGAACTCTATAGAGTGAGGATGAACTCCATTAAGAGTAGCAACAATTTGCTCAGCTGATGACTCCAGAACTTCTTCGATAGCTGGAGGACTAATGAACTCAAACTTACACCCGACATCACGTTCAAGGGATCGGACAGTTCTCTTTTGGCTATTAGTGAACATCAAAATTGCAGAACCTTCCTTCCCTGCCCGTCCTGTACGTCCAGAGCGATGCACAAAAGTCTCTGCATCATTAGGAAGCTCATAGTGGATGACCTGGAGAAAAGGGTGATAAGATCCATCTTCTTAGTGCCCTTTAGAATGCACATTCCAGATTTTGAAGTCAAAGATAGATAACATATTATGATAGTTTTCCATATATGATAATATTTTTTAGCATGAAAACTGGAAAAAAGAAAAAAGAAAAAAAAGCCAACATTAGCTAAGAAACTTATGATAATCATCAACATAGCATGCATGTCCATTATTTATACTTAATTGACTCAAGCTTTTCCCAGTTTCACAATACCAAATAATAACTCATCTTCTTTAAGCTTAAGTAACTGATGAAATGGACACTGGATACCATATCATTGATTTTTGTTAAGTATATAAACATGATATAAGGAATGACTTAAATGGTTAGAGTTTCAAAAATAAGTACTAGCTTATTTTGTTTATAGTTTGTTGAAAAGCACAATATCATCCTTGAACCTTAAAAATACCATTTAATTGGTACCTTCACTATTGCTTTTTGCTTCCAAAAGAAAAAACTCAAAAATGTCTTTTGATAAAAAATAAACAAAAAATTTAATGAGGAACTTAAAAATACCTCAATGAATAACAAAAAGAATGCTTTTAGTTCTATATGAAGAAATTTTGTTTAATTCGTGTAACATTTTAACCATTTACTCATTTTTCATCAAACGTAATTTTGCTTGCGGAAGCAAAAGCAAAAAAATAATAATAAATAAAATAACTACCAAAAGTAATGACATGATGGAGCCTAAAGTAGCAATGAAAACATAATGAAAGACCCAAAAGAAATTATACAGTTTAAAGAACTATAAAATTTTGGTAACATACTAGCTCGACATTTGGAATATCAAGTCCACGAGATGCAACATCTGTGGCAACAAGCACAGTGAATTTTCCTTGCCGAAAACCATTCAATGTTCTCTCCCTTTGATGTTGAGATATATCACCATGCAATGCCTCGGAAGCTATGCTGTTTGTTAAGGCAATAGAAACATCATCAGCATCTCGTTTTGTTTGTGTAAAAACAATTGTCTTCCCACCTTTCGCATAAACCTGAAAATTAGGAAAAGAATTATTTTCTTTTTCAGTATGGTGGTCAGCTTGTCACTTTTGGTCTGATATAATTTTGAATAATGATAAAATATGGTAGCATAGTAACATTGCATTCATGTTAGCATAGCCAAATGATAAAACAATTTCATGTAAAAAATGCTTACAAACTAAAAACATGAGATAATAAGATCTAATGGAGAACTGGGGGTGTAAATACAAATCTTAAATAAAACTTTAGGGTTTCGAAAGGACCTCTAACTTTAGGAAGTTGGTGGTTTTCAGAAAGGCCTACATCAAATTAACTTAGTAGGCCAACCCACATTCTTGCAGCATAATGTAAATATAAAACTACCAAGGACTCAACTAAAGCATCTTTGAGTACCAGACACTTGAACTAAGAATAATAATCCAACATTTGAATGAAATTCCATCCTGAAGTATAGCTAACAGACAAAGAATGGATCACCAGCTGATGCCACAAAGGATCCAACTTTGTTGATGTTGCTTACATAGAACAATATCAAAACATGTACATTTTGTCTTCTGATATACAATATTGCTGCATACTATGTTCAACACACAAAAAAAAAAAAATCCAATACAAATGATGTAATAGGCTTTAGAGTTTAGGGTTTAGACCAACCCACATGCTTGCAGCATAAAGCAAATATAAAACTAGCAAGTACTTAAATAAAGCAGCTTTGAGGACCAAAGTCTTCAACTAAGAATAATAATGCAACTTTTTGAATGAAATTCCATCCTGAAGAAACTTTAACGAAGAAAGAATGCACCAACAGCTGACACTACAAAATGAGCCAACTCTTTAGATGTTGCTTACACAAAACAATATCAAAATATTTACATTGGAATAACTGTCTCTATTATGTCTTCTGATATAAAATATACAGCATATTATATTCAACACACACAAAATTATTACCAATAAAATGATCCAATAGGTTCATGTTTTATATGGTAAAGTCCTATAAAGAAAAAAACAATTCTTATGTTACTCATCAGTCTCCACTAGAAAGATACATATATGAAGGAAAAAGTCATTAAATGTAATGCACTGACTTCACTGATAGCTTCAATCTATACCAAAAATACAAGAAATACTGATGCCAAAGAGAAAACGTAAGATAAATTAGTTACTGTTATAAGATCACTAAGAATGGTCTGCTTTGAAGTTGATGTGGTTGATATTGCATAAAGTTTGATCCCTTCAGCAAGCTTTTCATCTTGATCTCCAACCTGTGAGAGAAGAAAGAACCAAAAAAATAAATCAAGGTTTCTTTCTGCAATAAAAAAAAATTTGGACATAACACTGATAATAGAAATGTGCTACTCCAAGATCATTACATCACACAGTACTTATTTATACATGTAGATGTGTATAATGTTTTTCTCCAAGTTTCTTTAATAATATAAATAAAACATATGATTCCACTTATTCTTCAAGAAGAAACTTACTATGTTTGAACTTCTCACCAAACTAATTATTCAATTTCAATCTCTAAACAGATCATAATTTTTTTGTCCAAAAGAAAAAGAACAGACTTTTCACTATGCCTCAAATGAAGTAATATTTGCCTTGCAGAAATGGTGGAAGACAATAGTATGCTGGATTTAGATCTAAGTAGATATCTACCACAGCATTTTTCAGGATGGCACTGTTTTCTCTTGCAGATGAAGTGGTTGAGAAAACAATTTTAAGATGTCGGTACCCACATTCCAAGCATGTTGAGTATCAAAGATTAAATCAACATACTCAGCAATGTATTAATCATCCCAACCCAAGAAAGTGGGTGGGACGGGGGACAAAGAAAATTTCACCATTGACAATCACCAACAGAGAGTTTTGACCTTTCACTAATGCCCTACAATAACTAGTCATCCATCAAACAAGCAGAAATAACTACCTGCAATACTCAAGGCTCAATACTTGTAAGCTTTTGAGTTTAGACATAAACTTGTGCATCATTATCCAACAAAGAAATAGATGTAACATCTCAAAACACCGGCATACATAAGCGTTCTGAAGAATTCGTAGAAAAGAACTTACCAAGTCAATATTCAGAGGATTATCCAAGTACTTTCTTGCCAACTTTTTAACCCAAGAAGGCATCGTTGCAGAGAAAAGCATGCTCTGCCTCTTTGATGGAAGATTCTCTAAAATTTCTTCAACGTCTTCCTCAAATCCCACTGCAAGCATCTGATCGGCTTCATCAAGGACAAGATATTCAACTTCCCCCAATTTGAGGTCACTACTTTCTATGAGGTCAATGATTCGACCAGGAGTCCCAACCACTACATCAACCCCACGGGAAAGAGCATTTCGCTGTGTATTATACGATACCCCTCCATAAACACAAACAGTGTTTAAGTAAGGAGCAGACTCTTTAATTTCCTTCTCCACTTGCTTGGCTAACTCCCGAGTAGGGGCCAAGACCAAAACTCTGGGAAGCCGACCAGACATCCTGGAGAAAGAAAAGTAGAAAGGTGAAAACATTAAGAGAATAAGAATAATAAAACTATTGAAAATGGAGGAAATCTAAGCTTGTATTATAAAGTGTGTTACCGCCGAGGACTTGTTTGTTGGGTAGCATCATGAGTAAGACGTTTGATTATGGGGATCCCAAAGGCTAATGTTTTGCCAGTTCCAGTCTTCGCACGAGCAATGATGTCTCGACCTTGTAATGCCGGTACAAAGACAGCTCTCTAAATCAATGAAAGGGGAAATATAATATATAGAATGTTAAATTGGTATTGAAAGAGAAGAATTGAACCCAACTTAAGTAACAAAAAGGAAATAAAGGCACAATAACGGTTATGTAGAAAACAATGCCAAACGCAACAAAAAGATTAGGAGATGGTATAATATTCTAAGGATGTAAGATAGAAGCAACCAACTGGCACATTTGAAATGATAATTAAATAGCATAAGACAAGCAAGTTGCTTACATGTGAATTGTCATTGTCTACTCTAGGACAGAATAAACGAAATAGAGGGATTGGAGTTAGAGAAGCACAAGACTGAAAAGCAAAAGAACTTAAATATGAAGTCATCAAGTAGAAAAGAGAGAAAATTTGACCTGAATTGGGAAAAGGTGAGTAATGCCTCGCTGGAGTAGGGAATCGACGAGGCGATGAGGCAAACCCAACTTGGAAATGTCAAGTTCGTCGTCATGGTTGGAGGAAGCCTCAGCCTCATAGACGTCCTGGTCGTCTTGGTCTTGGTGAAGAGAGAGGCCCTTGAAGGCCTGTTCGCTGAGCACGGAATTGGGAGTGGCCACAGCGCGAGGAACAAAAGAGTGCTTGAAGCCGAGCAATGGCCTTCCAGCTACTACGAGGGCGTTGAACTGAGACTTATCAGTGAATGGTAAGGGCAAGCAAGAAGCTGCTGATGTACTCGATGTTATCCTTCTATTAGAGCTGGAGAAAGTGTCCAGAGACGGCGTCTGGTGTATGGAGGACGACAGTCCTACTAAGGAGGCCATTTTTTTCTTTCTTCTTCTTGTTTCACCTTTCGGTTGCTAGAAGAAGATAGGCTAAGGGGATTTGAGATATTTCAAACGGCGGGCAGGGGGAGTTGAGTGAGGGAGATAAGGCCACACTCCTCCCCAAATGAATGGCTTCGCTGCTTCAACTTATTACCAATCTACAAAGCCTGAGAGCCGTAACAAATAAAAGCGACGCCAAGGTCCCAAAAAGAGTCACCTCACTCAAATATCCATAAACTAGTTTTGGGTTGAGCCGAGGCCCATGACACAGGCATCCTCTTGGGCTCTCGTGGTCTCTCCTCTCGGCCCTCCGACTCGAAGAAAATTAAGAACGGGCAAAGCGATCATGCTGCCGCAGGAAAAAGCAATTATACTGTTGGTTTTTTTATTATTAAAAAAAAACAAAAACAGACTATTTTTACGGAGGAAGGGGGCCGCCATTATTGGCTTCCACTGGAGCATTCTTATTTGTAAAATTCTTTTAAAGGCCATTTCTACTTTCTGAGTACACACGACAAGTAGCCAACCCCTGCCGGATCTGCTGTTTCTTTTCCTTCCTGGGTACCTTCTGGACATTATCCACCTGCATTTGGTCGCTCTCCATTTCCCATTCATTTTAAAGGTAATTCTTTTAACTTGGTTGTTGATTTCTACTTGGAATTTTCGTTATCGGTCTCGTTCGGTTACTGTCTTTTACCGCTGCCGCTTACCCATCCATTTATCTTCTGTGAACAATCCAACAGGCCTCAGACTTTGGTTTTACTCCTTCTCAAGCCTTCAATCACCACTGATTACCCTACGATACTGATTCTTTCTTTTCAAATTTTCTCTAATTGGGCAAATTAGTTGTCGAAGATCGAATTAATCCTACTTTCTGTTTTTGACAGTGGCGGACGGTCGAGGGTTGGTTTAGGGTTTCCCTCCTATTGGTTTTGGGCAATCTTCCCGTGTACAGCTAGCGAACCACAAAAGGAAAAACCAAAAGAACAAAAGAATAAAAAGTTCGTGTGACAAATGGGTGATTCCCTTCCTATTTACCTCAACATCGTGGCCTTTTTGTGTACCGCTGGAGCCATTGCTTTGGCAATTCATCACATCTACAGGCACCTTTTGAATTACACCGAACCTATTTTTCAGAGATACATCGTGCGCATCATCTTTATGGTTCCGGTCAGTCATATCTTCTCTACTCTCTTATTTAGTGTAGTGCTTTTTTCTTGTACTGCTTTCATTTTCGTTGTGCCTAAATCTTTTTGCCTTCTCTATTACTATTTATTTCAGTTTCTTGTCAATCACAGGTTTATGCGTTGATGTCTTTCTTGTCCCTTGTTCTACCACAGAGTTCAATCTATTTCAATTCTATCCGGGAAGTGTAAGTAGGTCTGCCTGTGTTTGAATTCAATTATCAGTTTCTTATTTCCACTTCTTTCCTGAATTCCATGTTCCTCCAATCCATCATCACATTAAAAAAATTATGCTATATGTATGTAAATTGATAGATGGATGGATTGATAGAAATGATGTATGTATGCCACAGTATGTTTACGTTCTAACTAGCATCTTTCCTCTTTAACTGTTTCAGTTATGAAGCTTGGGTCATCTATAATTTTTTGTCTCTGTGCCTAGCATGGGTTGGTGGGCCTGGAGCAGTTGTGCTCAGTTTGAGTGGTCGAGTTTTAAAGCCATCTTGGTGTCTGATGACATGCTGCTTCCCTCCCATGCCACTAGATGGGTCAGTTTTGAATGGAACTCTACTCTTTTGCGCATCACATTGTTATGCATGTCATCACATTTAGCATTATAAGCTTTTTCTGCTATCAAGAATATATCTGCTTTCATTTTTAGTTTGGAATTGACATTGGATAGTTTGATTGATTTAGAGTTGCAGGTGTTGGGAGAAGGCATGCATTCATAATATATACGCAACAAAAATTTAAAACTTTTCTCTCAAACAAGATCAATCTTTGGTTGTTTAATGTAGATAACCCTAACTAGTTGGTGAATGATTGTTATACTTTTAAGCCTTTCATGTCGAAGTCAAAAGGTTGCAACTCTTTGTGAATGAAATCTTCTACCCATCAAGCTTAGGTTGTTGCAAACCTCAAGCTGTCAAAGCATCCAGCTTCCAATGATGATCCACACAGATGTTAAGTAAAATAACACCAAGGGTGATTGGGGTTTGCTTAATGCTACTGAGCCTAGGAAATAGATACTCTTTGTTTCTCAAATTCCTAAGGTAACCTGAAAATACCAAAGAATCAAGGAGGAAAGAGCTGCTGTCAATGTCCAGGGAACTCCTACAAATTGATTTGCACGATTTGCCTAGTATGTTGATATGCAGTATTTTAATAACCTCTCTTTTCTTGTTTGCGTCATAAGTTTCAAGTGCCTGTATTTATATGCAATTCAAATCCTAATAAGTTTAGCACAACTTTTATGATTATTGTAAAATTGACCCAATATCACACTCACGCACACACGCGGGTGCACGTACACATTTATTATATTTTATATGAGTTATGATTTATATTTTGTTAATACCACTGTAGCATGTCATTCTCTACTCACCTATATCATGTAGGCCAAATTTCAAATTAGTTGAAATTGTCCAACTGTTTCTTTGATAAGAATAAAATTTTAATCGTTATATACATATTTGATAATGATTCTATTCTTGACAATGTGATATAGATATTGGAATGACTTAAAATTTTATATCTATGACTAGTGCAGGTAGGATGTAAATCCAACCGTTGATTGTTTGAAATAGTAATTGTATCCGAAGTTATAGGCAGGTTTAACAATTATTAATTGCTACACCAGTGCCAGTTGATCCTTTCACATTATGCTTCTGAACTCAGCTTACGGACTATTGTTTGCACCTGAAATTGCAATGCAGGCGTTTTATACGGAGATGCAAGCAAGGGTGTCTGCAATTTGTCATTCTGAAGCCCATTTTAGTTGCTGTTACACTCATATTATATGCGAGAGGAAAATATAAAGATGGAAATTTTAGTCCCAGACAAGCATATCTATATCTTACTATCATCTACACAATATCATACACAATGGCTCTATATGCTTTGGTGTTGTTTTACATGGCATGCAAAGATCTTCTTCAGCCATTCAATCCAGTTCCAAAGTTCATCATAATAAAATCTGTGGTTTTCTTAACCTATTGGCAGGTAAAGTCTCATGCTGCTGTTACTTCCTCACATACTTATGCATGCAAAACAGAATAATAGGAAAAAAACCTTTTGTTTGCTTTGGCTTATAGTAACTATTATATCCTTCCCTTTTTCTTTCCATTGCGGCATCCCTTTGTTGGTTTTTGGTGATGTAGTCATTATTGAGTAATCTAGTGAGCATCTTTGTAAGTGACCTTGGGATGGTCAACTTTTGGTTACCGCAATGTGATCTTTCCTAGCCTGTTTGCTGTGTACATCATCTTTATGTTTCTTTTTAAAGGGGGAGGGGGGAGGGGGGAGGCTGATTTTCTTATTTGCTGCTTTTAGGATTATTTAGTCTTTTGCTAAAAAAGAATTGTACCCATCTCGATAGCTAACTGGAAAATTTAAAGAAAATGTTAAAGAAGATAGCTGTAGAACATAGCTGTTTTGGTTTGCAAGTAGATGTAGATGTGGAAATTAATTTTTCTACTTTGCATATCAGAGTTAATTGCTAAAGAAACAAGTTGCTGATAGTAGTTGCCTTTTGCTTTCCTTTTTTAACTCTGATTTGAAATAATAAGAATTATAATTTAATTTCTGGAAGTGCTGCATTCCAGTCTCTAAAAGCAGCTGTTACATGCTTTATTAGTGGTTTGCTTAGATGCTTAGTCTTTGAAAGGCAAATGCCCTCATCTTTTGATCACTAATCAATGTGTTTGGTAACTTAGAGTCTATTTGTTTTGACGTAAAATAGTTTCTGGAAAATATTTTCTATAGCTATACTTGTTTGGAAGATAGAAATTTTATTCCAGATATAAAACATTTTACAGGTCAAAATGAAAAATACCCATTGATCATGTAAAATGTCTTACGTCCTTGAGAGGGGTAAGACATTTTCCAGAGAATTGAAAAAATGCTCTTATATTAAGCCTAGTAGTATGAGTTTGATGAATATTAATATTTAACTTAAAATATCAAAAAAGTATTAATATTTAACTTTAAAAAATTTTTACTTAAAATATTAATATTTAAATTATTCAATGCTATTAAAATTAAAAAAAAATTAATGAAATCATTCAATGCAATTAATATTTTTATTTATAAATTGAATAAATCTGACTAATAATTATAACCAAAAATTATTTCAATGATTGTCATTTGATGAGTACATATCTATAAATATAAGTTTTGGATGTTTTGTACAATTGATGAATATTGATATTTTATAGTGTTATGGTAAAAAATGATGAAATGGAAAATTTTTTGAAAATTAGAGTTTACTTTCATTACAATATGTGGTTAAATGCTTTGGAAAATATCATTATTTATTTTTTCCCATTTTCATTTCCTATCTTAATTTTCATGTGAAAACAAATGAGACTATTGTATTGTAATAAACTCCTATTTATGATTTTAACACCCAAATAACTTCACCAATGATGGTGGAAAATATTTTCTACAGGATGATTCAAACAATAAAAAACGTTTTCAACAGTTTATCTAAATAACAAAAAACATTAAATTTTCTTATAAAATATTTTACATAGGAAAAATTTTCCCCCAGCAAGTCATTTTCTGGTTACTAAATGGACCCTTAATTTATTGCAAATCATTCAAATTGTGCTCATGTAAGTGCCAGGACATAGAAGTTACTGTTGGTGGTTTGATTTTAGATCAGCCAAGAGATATTTAGCAACAAGTGCTGTAACAGCATTGTACCATGTATACAACCTCATCTAGTTGCATCGCTTGGCGAATACATGCCAAAAGAGCTCAAAATTCTGTGTACATTTTCCCTTTTTCAGGGTGTTATGGTTTTTCTCGCTGCTAAGTCTGGATTCATAAAGGATGCAGAAGCAGCTGCTCAATTTCAAAACTTTATTATATGTGTTGAGATGCTTATAGCTGCCATGGGTCATCTTTATGCATTTCCATATAAAGAGTACGCTGGTGCAAATATTGGTGGGTCTCATGGTTTGACAGGAAGCCTTGCACATGCCTTGAAGTTAAATGACTTCTATCATGATACTGTTCACCAGGTGAGCCTACTACTTGTTATTACCATTTTTCCACCAAAATGTTCCTCTATTGGACTATTTTCCCCTTTTTTAGGCTCGTTAATGGTGTTACTAACTGTTTACTGGTTTCACAGTTTGCACCAACATATCATGATTATGTATTGTACAATCATAACGATGGTGATGAGGGAACAAGAAAGTACCGGTCAAGGACCTTTGTGCCAACTGGGCCAGAGATGGATGCTGTGAGAAGAAACAAACTCATGTTTGGAAACAAACTGGATGACATTCAGCTATCCAGTCTCTCGTCGTCTGGTACAAGCACTCCCCAAAACCCTGGCTCTGTACCAGATTCTGCACGTGGTGATGCAATAAAATCATCACTGCTTGTGGACCCCTCAAATTCTTATACAGTGCCATATGATATGTCACTTATCGACATGGATTTATCCAATTATCCTCCAAAAGTTCCTGCAGCAAAAGAAACTGAGACTAGGTGACTAGTGTGTAGTAGAATCCTTAAAGACAGGTGAGAAGAAGCGTGCATCCTTGGGGACGACAGGGGAGAGCAGATGGAAGGAGAGGATAGGGGGGGGGAATGGTAGGGTGTCTGACAATGACATTATTTCTGACTTTGGGAGAGCCTCCTATTCAAATTGTGTGCTGCAATTAGTGTCTAATTACTGAAGTGTTCACTGGAGTCCTCAGTTCCCAGTGTTTTCTCTTTTACCTGTATTGGTTTCAATCATTGTAAATTGTAGTCACTGCTCTTAGGTTTCACACTGGAACTGTGTGGCCCGTCTGGCAATGGTTGTCTGAGTTTGTTTCTGTCTGCTGTGTAGATACGAAGCACTTAGTTCATAGTTGAAGGATCTTAATTTGAGTCATGAAATTTGCTTTCATCTTTTATTCACTTGGCTTGTTCCAAGCTTAATTTTTTTTTTTTTTTGCATGTTATTCAAATGATGTCATCATTGGGTATATTGCCCTATTATAGCATTGATGGGTTTCTCTAGTTTCTGTAGAGTAATGTTATTGATTACTTTTCCCACATTGTGGTTGTTTTTCCTTTGTTAATGACATGGAAGGGGAACAGGGAAGGGAAATTGGAATTTGGAGAAGGTGGGGACTGATATTCAGTTGAATGGCATTGGTTGTATGAGTTGCAATGTTGTTATGAGACAAAAGAATAAAGATGGCTGCTATTAGGGTCCGTTTGGTATCAGGGATGTAAACCACATTCTCTGCAATGTGCCACATTGCAGTGTTTGTTTTGTAACAGATCACTGCAATGTAAGATTTCACATTGCAATCACATTATATTGTACTCTGCAATGTTCTTAAAGACAATTTTACCTTTCAACTTAATTATCTTATTAAAAATATTTTATAATATTAAAATTAAAATAAAACATATAATATAAAAATAAAATAAAATATAAAAAATTAATATTTATATAATATAGATAAAACAAATTAAAATAAAATAATATAATATAAAAATATATTAAAGAAATGAAAATAAAATATAATAAATTATAATAATAAAATAAAATAAAATATATGACATTAAAAATATATTTAAAATATGATATTATATAAAAATTAATATATAAATATAAATATATTAAAAATAAATATAAAATATTATAAATAAATAAAAATAAAATATATTTAAGAAATGATATTATATAAAATTAATAATAAAAATATAAATATATTAAAAATAAAATATAAATATTATAATAATAAATAAAAATAAATATATGATATTAAAAATATATTTAAGAAATGATATTATATAAAAATTAATAATAAAAAATATAAATATGTTAAACTTATATTTTAATAATTAAGGGTAATTTTGACAATTAGCATTACATTCCCACTAAAGTACTTGTAAACCAAACACTGCAATGTTATCTTCACTGCATTTTAATTATTATTTTACTTACATATCAAACACTTTAATGTTATTTTCTCTGTAATCACATTGCTTGCAATCACATTACCT